AGACAGAAAGTTTGCGTCCAATACCCAACTCACTGCACCTGGAATCCAGCAGAAATTGTCAGCATTTCCCCAGAACCAAGACTGTATCAAATACAAACAGCAAATGACATGGGAGGCGCTGGCCCTGTGGTATTGTTGCTGGACTGTTAATCCAGAGACCCAGATAACATTCTGGGCACACGGTTCAAATGCTGCCACAGCAGATGGTGGAATTTGAATTCAATACAATACCTGGAATTAAGAATCTAATGATGACCATGAATCCATTGCCAATTGTTGGAAAAACCCATCTGGATCAATAATGCCCTTTAAGGAAGGAAATTACCGTCCTTACCTGGTCTGGTCTACGTGTGACTCCAGACCCACAGCAATGTGGTTGACTCATAACTGTCCTCTGGGCAATTAGGGATGGACAATAAATGCTGCCTGGCCAGCGAAGCCATCATCCTGTTAATGAAAAAAAAGTGTGAAGAGATAGATGCTAAGTAAGGAGAATAGCAGAAAAAGTGAATGATGTCTAATCACATAATGACCAGAATGTTGTCTAAGACACAACACAAAGACGGTTCCCCTGAACAACACTGTGAAAGCATTCAGCAGCCTCCAGCAAAGATTACCATAACCAAAACTGAGCAGAATAGTAAACCACAGATATATTTCAAAAGCTTGTAATTTTATTGCTCTCTGCTAAATTACCTGCAGACATAATGTTATTTTATTCAGTCATCATGCCAATAATCTGTAGCACTAGTGGTAGAAGTCTGATGTATTATACATAGGTGCCAGTAAACTTTGTCTGTGTATAATCATATCTGCAAATAATGCAACAATATTGTTGTTTCACTAATCCTGGTATGTGGTGGCATGTCTATGTCTAAGAGAAGAATATAACAAAAGGATATGGTCCAAGGACCAGTACATAGATCAGCAATGATCTCAATAAATCGTAAAATAGCCTCAATGGGCTTTCCTTTTGTTCGATCGACTCCTGTTCCTCCTCCATTCACTTCAATGCCTTTCCCAGCTTATTACAGCTTAGGTGTTTTATTGTTCTCTGTCATCTATTCCATCTTCTGCAATTGTAATTCACAGATCTGTGAGCATCCCATTCTGCTCGAATGGATGAGTGATCTTCAAGCATTGCTCACATTTTTCATTTACATGAACCATTTCTCATTATCGCAATTTTATTCTCACTTAACTTCAGTCCAATAATCCTACCAGTTAAATCATAGATATTAGTAGTTTGGAAATAAATCTGATTATAAATGCTACTTCATCATACTCTGCATGATCTATTCCACTGTGTTTGTTAAAGCTAAATGCTCAAAAGCAAATTGTAGAAATGTAGCATTTGATTAGATTGGCATTTGTTCCATTATGTTAAATTAATAGAGGTGGGTGAATTTTATTGTAACATCGGATTCAGTTTTTAATTTATTATTCATGTTTATGGCCATTTCTTTTTTCAGTTGCACCTAATCAGGATTTCATTGCTAATTTCCTTCTGTTTATTCATACAGATTGGAAGTCAATTCAGAAGCACTACTATTACATCTCTGACTAGACACCTTCCGGTACATTTATATTAGAATTTGACAGTGTAGTTCATCGAAACTCAGACTACAGTACATCCCGAATCACAAGATGCACTGCAGTAATTTGCCAAATTTCCTTAGACAGTACCTTCTAAACTCATGACCATTTCCACCCAGGACAAGGGCAACAGGTGCATGGGAATACCATTACCTGTGACTTCCCATCCAAGCTGCCCTGCCTTGGAAATATATCGCCATTCTTTCAGTGTTGCTGGATCCAAATCCTGGAATTCCCTCCCTGGCAGCATTGTGGGTCAACCTTTAGCACGTGCATTGCAGTGGTTCAAGAAGAAGGTGGCTCAACACCACCTTCTCAAGGTCACCTAAGTGTGGGCAATAAATGCTGGCCCAGCCAGCAATACCAAAATCCCCTGAATAAATAACGAAAAAAATTCCAACCTGACGCCTAAGAGAAAATGTTGGGACATTTCCTGTACCAGAGTATCTCCCATCAAATGGGTTTAGCATTGCATGGTGTTCAGTTGAGATATTGAATAAAGAGTTGTGTTCCCCTAGACCTCAGAAATATAGTAACAGCTGGGCAGAGAATGAGGGAATATTAGCTGGACCCAATATTGCACCATGAAAAAACTGGAAACAAATCTTTGCCTCATCTTACAAATGGAGTCTAAGCAAGTTTCTAACTCAATTTCTTATTTATTATTGAATTGACAGGGTGTGGGCAGTGTTGACAAAGTCAGCATTCATCATCCATCCTGAATTTCCTTCATTTGTGAGCTACATTCATGAACTAGAATGCCTCAAAAAGCAGCTCCCCACCGCCTTCCTATAGGGAATTACAAATGGATATTGAATACTGAGTTAACCAGCATCATTGACATCCCATGAACAAATGTTAGGAACGTGGCTAAGAACGGATGGGAACAAAATAAAATTAACATATTTTCTTACTACATTGAAGCAATTTGATCAATTAGTACATTGATGTGTTTGGCTGTATTCTTTTAGAAACATATTAAAAAAAATTAAAAATATGCAGCCAACAAATGATCATCTGTTTATTTTTAATCATTCATGGATTGTGAGCATCGCTGGCTAGCCAGCATTCATTGCCTGTCCCTATTCATCTCCATCCACTTTGTTAACTTGCATTTGTTTAACACTATCAAATATGAAATTTATTTCAATGTTATGCCAACAGAGGGTTAATCCTTCCACTAAATACTACTGCAGATATACAAAGCCCTGGTTAGATCCCATCTGTGTCGCCCTTACCACTATACCTCAGAGTAGATATATTGGCTATGGAAGGTGAGCAGCACAGATTTCATATCAATGGTACCAGAGCTTCACTGGTTAGATTACAACAAGTGATTATATTAACCTGTCTATAGTCCCTGGGTTATAAAAGATGCAGCTGTGATTTGCTGGAAGTTGTGATGATTTTGAAAGGAACTGATTGGGTAGAGAGAACATTGTCTCAGCTGTAACAAGTGTCGAAGTTAAGGTGATAGAACCAAAGCAAACTTGATAGATGATTTTATAAAAATGTAGTACTTGGATGCTGGAGATCTGAAATAAAAACTGGGAATGCTGGAGAAACTCAGCAGGTCTGGCAGCTTCTGAAAAAAGAAACATTTTGAGACCGATATGACTTCTTCAGGACGCAAGGAATTCATGTCAAAGATAGAAAAAGTATGGAACTGACTGCTACAAAAGACTTGCCGGCTCAATTAATAATTGTAAATATAAGCTTAATAGCTGTTTTTCTAGACAAGGCACATGAAGCCAACACAGGTTTATACAGGGAATGCAGCACACTGGCTGCAATTAGGTTGTAGGCCATCATGATGATTGAATCGAATGTTAGGCCTACTCCTCAGATTCTGTCTGACCTGCTGCGCTTTTCCAGCCTCATAGCTACAGACTCTGGCTTCCAGCATCTGCAGTCCTTATTGTCTCCAAGTAACTAATGGGCTCCACATTCCTATTTTCCTGAGGCGAAGGAGAAGTTGCTAAATGTGAATCCTGTGTTTGTTCGGTATACAATATTTAACAGCCATTTCCAAGTTATTTAATTTGACCTTTAAATACCCCTGTTAGGGTTTCCCATCACAAGCATAAGAACAGATGAGCAAGGAACAAGAGTAGGCCACTCGGCCCTTAGAGCCTGCTCTGCCATTCAATAAGGTCGTGGCTGATCTGATTTTAACCTCAACTCTACATTCCTGCATGTCCCCAGTAATCTTCCATCCCCTTGGTCATCAAGAGTCTCTCTACATCTGCCTTAAAACTATTTACAGATTCTGCATCCACTGCCTTTTGACGAAGGGAATCCAAAGATTCATGACTTTCTGAGAGAAAAATATTTTCCTCATCTCTATCTTAAAATGATGGCCTCTTATTTTTAAACTGTGACCCCTGGTTCTAGATTCTCTCACAAGAGGAAACATCATTTCAACAGCTGCCCAGTCAAGACCCCTCAGAATCTTACCTGTTCCTGTTAAGATACCTCTGACTCTTCTAAACTCAAGAAGATGCAGGCCTAGGCTGTTTAGCCTTCCTTCATAAGACAATCAATTCATTTGAAGACAACTTGAACTCTTCTCTAGTTTAAAGGAGAAACAGTCTGAGTCAATGGTGTCACAGAACTGTTACAGTGCAGAAGAAGGCTACTCAGTCCATTGTGCCTGCACCGGTTCTTCACACAAGCATTATTATTTAATGTCAGTCTCTTGATTTTACCCCATTCCCTTGTACATCATTTCTATCCAAATAAACATCCAATGCCTTCTTGACTACCTCAGTTGAACCTTCCTCTATCACACTTCCAGCCCATTTATTCAAGCTCTAAAAACTCACTCAGAGAAAATGATTTTCCTCACATCATCCTATCCTTTGTACATCAGTTTAAATCTGTGCCTTCTTGTTCTTGCTCCTTATCTGAGTAGGCACAGCTTCTCCCCATCTAACCTATCCAGGGGAAAGGGGGTATCAGCTCACCCTCTCATCATAAGTTGTCAATAATCCACTAATAAGACCTGAGCTTTTACTGGAGAGGATGCCTTCTGAATGTCCTTCCCATTCCTTGTGAGTGTGCCTGATTTCTGCATTGTTGCATTGAACTTGCTGTATAACCAACTCATGAAATAGTGCTTAACTGAGCACCAGTTATTTTAAAAGGGTTCAGAGCTTGTGATTTCTATTCACCAGTCTCTGAATTGTACCCAGTGATTCACCTGGAACAGTTATCTCCTTGTTATATTCTTCATGAGAAAGAACCATTAAGTCTTTAATTGAGAGTTCATGTGAAACAGTTCCTATTGTTTTTATATTTATTCTATTTACAAGTAACGAGGGATTGTTTTACATTCTCCTTTTTGTAAATATGTTGGAAGAACATCAATGATTAAAATGTTGAAACATTTATTGTTTTCTCAGGTTCCTTTGTTGTTCAGATAACAGCAACAGATGCTGATGATCCAACGTATGGAAACAGTGCCAGGGTTGTGTATAGTATCCTGCAGGGACAGCCGTACTTTTCAGTTGATCCCAAAACAGGTAACTGTTTCTATTTGAGCAATAGTAGTTAATTTTAATAAACAAATAATGATTTGGAAGAACTGTGGCTCATTGGGTAAATCTCTCTTGCCTCTGAGCCCAAAAGTTGTGAGTTCAACTCTTTTCCAGAGAATTTTAAGCACAAAATCCATCTGAAGCTCCAGTGAGGGATGGACAGAAGTGCCTTTCTTTTGGAAGAATTGATAAACCAAGGCTCCTTCTACCCCCTCAGGTAAAGATCCATGGCACAATGTTGAAGAAGAGGAGGTGAGGTGTCCCTCAATCATTGCCAGTGGAACAGATGATGTGGTTGTGATCATATTACTAATTCATGGAAGTTTTCTGTGTGCAACTGGATGTTGTTTCTCTTACATTTATGTAATAAATTGCCAATGCACCGTACTGTCTGCGTGTGATGCTGGACAGAAAAGTATTAAAGTTTGTAAATTTAAATGAGTAGGCTGTGTTGCACAACAGCAGTAATGAAATGGGAATATTGGTAACTACACTTTACAAAGTACTTTATGGGAACATAGGAACAGGAGTAGGCTATTCAGTGAGAAGGTGGCTGATGAGTGGCCTAACTCCATAGAGCTGCATGTGGCCCATACCTCCTAATACCTTTGATGAATAAAAATTTACCTATCTCAGATTTAAAAGTAATAACTGATCCAGCACCCACTGCTATCTGGGAAAGAGAGCTCCAAACCTCGAAAATCCTTTGTGTGTAGAAGTGTTCTTACTTTGCTGTCAGTAAATAGTTTTGGAATACCTTGAGATCATGAAGAAATGTCAGCTATAATATTCTTTTACATGTGCAAGGCACGTTACTGACAGAAATGTTAAAGCAGTGAATGTACAGCGAAAAGGTGAGACAATAGATGTGAGAGGCATACATTAGATACCAGCACAGTTTCTGGGAATCCTATATTCTTGATCTCAATGATACTGGCCACATAGGAAGATGCAAGAAGTTTCTATGTTGGGAATTCCTACTCCCTGAACAGCATACCTCCAAAGAATACACGTATGGTTTTCTTTTATAAGTGTGGCCTCTATATTAAAAAAAAATGCCAGAACAACAAGTTAAATGTTGTGGTGGATGGAAATCTGATATAAAACCAGTAAATTCTGGGTATACTCAGCTGATCAGGCAGCATCTAGAGAGAGAGGAACAGTTTCACATTTCAGGATCAAACAAAAACAGAAATTGCTGGAGAAACTCAGCAGGTCTGGCAGCATTTATGAAGAAAAAACAGACTTAATGTTTCAAGTCCAGTGAGCCTTCACCAGAAATGGACTTGAACTTTAACTCTGCTTTCTCATCTCAGAGGCTTCCAGACCTGCTGAGTTTCTCCAGCACTATCTGTCTTTTTTGTTCAGATCTCCAGCATCTGCAGTTCTCTGTTTTACATTTTACAATGATGGCCTGATATCCAGAGCAGGGCGAAGGCAAGATAGAGGTTGATTATCACATTAACAGTGAAAAAGTGAATGCATTTTACTGGGGGATAGTAAGGACTGTAGACGCTGGAAGTCAGAGTCAGTAAAATGTGGAACGGGAGGAGCACAGCAGGTCAGGCACCATCAAAGGAGCAGGAAAGTCAACATTTTGGGTCTGGACCCTTCATCAGGGTTGTCATTTAAAACACATCAGAAACCATGAAGGTAATGAGTTACTATTTAAGAAGGGAGTGGACTGAAGGTTGTAAATGATCATTACAGCATTACATATCATGATGTTGAAATTAAAAGATGAAAATTAGCTAGCATTAATGAACCAGGTAACTTAGTGGACAGCATGTTATATAGTTCCATTTTAAATCTCTTTAACTGTCGGAACAGTAAGTCATTAAAATAGTTTCCTTTTCTCTGTGGAGATCACAGAAAGACCATCAATAACTCTCGACTGAAACAAAGAACTGTGGATGCTGGGAATGTGAAACAAAAGCGGAAATTACTGAAGAACTTCAGCAGATCTGACAGCATCTGTGGAGAGAGAAACAGAGTTAGTGTTTTGAGTCCAATGACTCTTCATCAGAACTGAACTCAAATTCTCTCTCCACAGATGCTCCCAGAACGGCTGAGTTTATCCAGTAATTTCTGTTTTTGTTTAATAAGTAGTTACGACTGCCTCAGCATCAGTATTACTTGCATTCAGACAAGAACTTGGAATATTACAAGCGTGGCTCAGTGGCAGCTCTTTCTAAAGTTAGAAAGGTTGTGAATTCTGGTTCAAGCTCTTTTTACAGACTCGTTTACTCATCCCTTTGCTGTTTTCACCTGGTTTAAATTTAAATTTAAAAACATCAGCAATACATCCCAAAGCAGACCGGCAGAGCTCTAAAGCAAATGCTGGAAGGTGGGATTAGGACTGAGTAGCTGAGACAGATACAGTGAGCTAAGTGGCCTCTCTGTGTGCTGTAAACTTTCCATGATTTCCAAGATATTAAAAAATATCAACTGGTACAAAATACAACTGTCAGACAATTCACAATAAGCCAGTTTCACATCGGTCTGGAGCAATTTCAAGAAACATAGAAAATAGGACCAAGAGTAGGCCATATGGCCGTTTGAGCCTGCTCTACCATTCATTAGGATCATTCAATCCAAATTAGTACCCTATTCCCCCTTTCTCCCCCATACTCTTTGATCCCTTTAGCCCTAAGAACTATCTATAACTCCTTCTTGAAAACATTCAAAGTTTTGGCATCAACTGCTTTCTGTGGCAGAGAATTTCACAGGCTCACCACTGTCTGCGTGAAGACATTTCTGTTCATCTCAGTCCTAAGTGTTTTACCCGTATCCTTAGAATGTGACCCCCTGGTTCTAGACTCCCTGGTCATTAGGAACATCCTTCCTGCATTTACCCTATCCAATCCTGTTAGAATTTTATAGATTTCTACGAGATTCCATTCACCACCACCTCCCCCTCCCCCATTCTCCTAAACGCCGGTAAATGTACCGTTTCGCTTCATAAGTCAGTCCTGTCATCCCATTTAACCATGAGGAATCAGTAAACTGAGTCAAGAAAATACTTCTCACATTACAGCCCCTCTAGTCTTTCCCTTCTTGTGTTAAACAATAGATTCCACATGGTCAATCAGCTCACAATTTGGTAGGTGGGGAAACTGAGGAATCTAAATGCAGCTACTCCTTCTTTTGGAGATGTTTAAACAGTAAGTAAATATTGTATTTGCAATAATTACAATGTCAATGAGTCACTGATCAAGAAATTTAACAAGGTTTGCAGTTTATTGATATAATAATATGTTTTTAGAGTTTTGCTTAAGGAATTTAATAGAAAGAATTAGAAGTTAGTATGCTTGCAGCGAAATAGATTATGCAAAAATAGAGATTCCAACTCAGGAGGGATCCATTTATTGCATTTTTTTGACCAAATGAGGTCTATTCTCTATTTAGCAGCTGTGTTTGAGAATTGAGTCCAAGTTTCTGGTAGGATATTTTCACAGAATAATGCTCTTCTGAGTACCGTGGGCTTGATTCTAATGTCAGTGAACAATTTTGTGGGAGTGGATTGAATCATTGTGGCACAGGACTCTTGCTGTATGTCATCATGAAATGTGCTCAGTTTATACTGAACCATTTAGTAACGAGTAAATGTGAGCAATTAGTGATGGACAAACTTTGATAAAATATAAGCCAGCTGTTTAATATAGTGAATCAATTTATATCGCATTACGCACATCATTTTAAAATTCACATCCTTCAATCTCTCTCTGTCTGTACAACCTCCTCCAGCCTCAGAGATCTCTGTGCTCCTCCAATTCTGCCCCTTGCACATGCCCCATGCCTCAGTGTACTGGGTCCTAAGGCAGGATCTTCTGTCCCCTCTAGGGATTGGCAGCTTGGAAATGGGAAGGGCACTTAATTAGGAGGAGTGGTGACATCCCCACTGTTGTTTCCACTGGAATTGACTTCCTGGTGGAAAGGGTCATGGTCAGACTTCCCACCCAGCCATCAGTTGAGGTCATTAAGTGCCAATCGAGGAACACTAAAGGGAGGTCATCCAGCACCATTGGGATCAGTCCAGTCGCAGGCAGACCTGTCGTGAAGTAACAAAAACAGAACTGAGGAAAGATCACCGGACTCGAAACATTAACTCTGATTTTCTCTTCACAGAAGCTGCCAGCCCTGCTGAGCTTTTCCAGCAATTTCTGTTTTTGTTCCTGATTTACAGTATCTGCAGTTCTTTTGGTTTTTATTCTGTCATGAAACGACGAGCCCTGACAGTTCACCCTCTGTGTGTAGCTCCTCACCTCAGGGTGGGATTTTGTTAAATAATGGCAATCAGTTCTGGATGGAGGGATTAGAGGTAGGTCAAGGGATGCCAATGAAAACCAATGCCTGCTGTTACTTCCAACATCTCTACCTGCTGTCACGTCATGACTGCCAACCCCTCCACTTCTTGGGATTGTCCTCTGTGATCCTGGGCCACCAGTGGGTGTTCTTCCACCACCAGGCCTATGGCCTACTTCCTGGTACTGTGGAGTGAGGTAATCTTGTTTGACAATGCTCTAACTGAGTGGGACCTCCATCCCTGGAGTCTTCATTCAAACAAAGGCTTGTACTGGCTGATTGGCATTTGGTTTAGTGGAACTTCTAAGAGGAGGCAGTGCCAGTATTTACCCAGCTCTGTCAGCAAGACCCCCAACATCTCAGCAAAATTCTGCTCTGAGACTCCGGAATTTTCTCCCTAATCCTTTACATCCCTCTACCTCCTTATCTTCCTTCAAGAGACTCCTTAAGACCAGGCTCTTTGTCTGACTTTTTGATCCTTAATTGATGTAATCATAGAAGAGGCCCTTTGGCCCATCATGTCTGTACCACCAAAAATACATTATTGCTTACACCAGTCCCACGCTAGTGCCATAGCCTTCAATGTAACGACATTTCGAAAGTTCATCCAAGTACTTTGTTAAGGTTGTGAGGTTTCCTGCCTCGACTATCCTCGCAGGTAGTGCATTTCAGACTGCCATTGTCTTTTGGGTGAAAATAAATTCCTCAATTCCCTTCTAAACCTCCTGCCTTTCACTTTAAAAGTGTGCCCCCTTGGTCTTGACCCCTTGACTAAAGGGAACAGCTGCTTTCTATCCACTCTGTCCATGTCCCTCATAATCTTACACACCTCCATCAGGTCCTCACTCAACATTCTCTGCTCCAAAGAAAACAACCTGAGCTTATCCAGCCTCTCTTCATCGCTGAAATGCTCCGTCCCATGCAATGACAAATTCTGTTTGATAACTTTTTTTTTCTGAAGTGTCGTGGGGCTTGTTACGCAGGTAAAGGTATTGTATGAATACAGATGTTGGTGCTTTAAAGGCAGTCAGACAAAACAAGGTTGAGCTGCAAATACAGCACTGAAATCACAAATCTTCGCAATTTAGGAATGATAACCAATTGGTTATTACCGCCAGCATTGAAATCCCATTGCTCACCTGGGCATTGGAATAGTTTTCAGTTGAAAATCCATAAAGTAAGGTAGGTGCCAACTTATACAATGAAAAGCAAATGTGAAAGTCCATTTTGTGCGTGTATTATTTGTAGCATTACCTATATAAGAGAATTTCATGATAAATATTTGATTTTCTCTGTTTTCCATGTTTAGGTGTTATCAGAACAGCTTTATCAAACATGGACAGAGAAGTGAAAGAAGAATACCAAGTTATCATTCAGGCCAAAGACATGGGTGGACAAATGGGAGGCTTAGCAGGAACAACAATGGTCAATATCACTCTTACTGATGTCAATGACAATCCACCAAGGTTTGCAAAAAGTAAGTGCTCCTGCTTTCTTCAATCCCTTCACAAAGTACACAAAACCCTTTGACCCATGGTCTACACTTCAGTGATGTAGAAACCAGAATGAAATAGTTAAACCTTTGGCTGTGGTTAATCTTTTCCAAGTCTGTGTTAGTTTTGGGGTAATGCATGAGCAGTTTGTGAAGCTAGTTATAAGGTTTTGTTTTCAGTGCCGTAATTCGTTCATTTCTGATGAATACCCAATGACGCACTCGCTTGTTCTCTGTGCTGAACGCACAGGGTTCAGAAACAAGCTCCGGGATTTCACACTACAGCAGGAAAACTGGGAGAAGATGTTTGACTGCAATGACAAAGTGATGGATTCACCTGAAGACAACACATTCCGTTGTAAAAGATTACTCAGTTTTTCCAAAACTAACTCCCAACAATTTGCATTTCCTTTTATTGCACAGGTTCAGGTCAATGTGATATGTGAACAAATAGAAAAATTGACATTTCTCACTTATGAGATAGCTTTGGCAAATCGGGTTAAGGAGAATTCAAAGGGATTATACAAATACATTAGGGACAAAAAGGTAACTCGGGAGAGAATAGGGCCCCTTAAATATAAGCAAGGTCACCTATGTGTGAAACAGCAGAAGATGGGGAAGATAATAAACAAGTATTTTGCATCAGTGTTTACTGTGGAGAAGGATATGGAAGATAGAGGATGTGAGGAAAATAAATAATGACATCTTGAAAAATGTCCATAATACAGAGGAGGAGGTCCTAGATGTCTTAAAACGCATGAAGGTGGATAAATCCCTTGGACCTGATCAGGTGTACCTAAAACTTTGTGGGAAGCTAGGGAAGTGATTGCTAGGCCCCTTGCTGAGATATTTGTATCATCGATAGGCATAGGCTAGATGCCGAAAGGCTGGAGGTTTGCTAACATGGTGTCACTATTTAAGAAAGGTGGTAAGGAAAAGCCAGGGAACTACAATTCAGTGATCCTGACATTGGTGGTGGGCAAGTTGTTGGAGGAAATCCTGAGGGACAGGATTTAGATGTATTTGGAAAGGCAAAGACTGATTAGGAATAGTCAACATGGGTTTGTGCATGGGAAATTATATCTCATGAGCTTTATTGAGTTTTTTGAAGAAGTAACAAAGAGGATTGATGAGGGCAGAGCAGTGGATATGATCTATATGGACTTCAGTAAGGTGTTCGATAAGTCTCCTCGTGGTAGACTGGTTAGCAAGATTAGATCACACGGAACAGACGGAGAGCGAGCTACTTAGAAACAGAACTAGCTTGAAGGTAGAAGACAGAGGGTGGTGGTGGAGGCTTGCTTTTCAGACTGGAGGCCTGTGACCAGCAGTGTGCCACAAGGATCAGGCTGGGTCCGCTGCTTTCTGTCTTTATATAAATGATTTGGATGTGAACATAGGAGGTATGGTTAGTAAGTTTGCAGATGAAACCAAAATTGGAGGTGTAGTGGGCAGTGAAGAAGGTTACCTTAGAGTGCAACGGGATCTTGATCAGATGGGCCAATGGATCATGGAGTGGTAGATGGAGTTTAATTGAGATAAATGTGAGGCACTGCATTTTGACAAGGCAAATCAGGGCTGGACTTAATGGTAAGGTCCTGGGGAGTGTTGTCGAACAAAGAGACCTTGGAGTGCAGGCTCATAGTTCCTTGAAAGTGGAGTCATAGGTAGATAGAATAGTGAAGAAGGTATTTGGTATGCTTGCCTTTATTGGTCAGTGCATTGAGTATAGGAGTTGGGAGGTCATGTTGAGGCTGTATAGGACTTTGGTTAGGCCACTATTGTAATACTGCGTACAATTGTGGTCTCACTGCTACAGGAAGGACATTGTGAAACTTGAAAGGGTTCAGAAAAGATTTACAAGAATGTTGCCAGAATTGGAGATCTTGAGTTATAGGGACAGGCTGAAAAGATTGGGACTATTTCCCTTGGAGCATTGGAGGCAGGGGGGTGAACTTATAGAAGTTTATAAAATCATGAAGGGGCATGGATATGGTAAATGGACTAAGCCTTTTCTCTGGGGTGGGGGCGTCCAAAATTGGAGGGCATACATTTAAGGTGGGAGGGGAAAGATTTAAAAGGGACTTAAGGGGCAACTTTTTCACGCAGAGAGTGATGCGTGTATGGAATAAGCTGCCAGAGGAAGTGCTAGAGGCAGGTATAATAACAACATGTAAAAGGCATCTGGATGGGTATATGAATAGGAAGGATTTAGAGGGATATTGGCCAAATGCTGGCAAATGGGACCAGATTTATTTAGGATATCTGGTCGGCATGGATGAGTTGGACTGAAGGGTCTATTTCTGTGCTGTATGGCCCTATGACTCCATGACTCTATTTACTGCATGACTGTTTTTTTTTGACATACAGTGGTTTGTTGGGAAATTGGATTATCCGAGGGCATCCTAAGCCATCACAAATTTCTGTTTATCATAAGTTTGTGGGTGAGACCCCTGTAGTTTGAATTATTGCAGTTTTACAGCATTGATCAAACACTGATTTGACGCCATTTTGAAGTTCCATGCTTCAGCAATTTCTCTCTTAATCTTTCACAGCTTATTTGGTGAATCTCTCTGATGGCTGTTGCTGTCATTATCCTTACTTTGGGAATTATTTTTTCATACCTTTTGAAAGTTTCAAGATGTACAGCGAATAATCTGCCCAGTTTTGGTTGCTTCACATTTTGTGCCCTAGTTATGTTCAGGCCCAGGGAAGAATATGGGACAAAGGTTCTAATCCCTCCGTGGTGGAATTTAAATGCAGTTATTAAATTTGGAATGAACAGCTGGTCTCATTGATGGTGACTGTGAAAGTGATATTAATTGTTGTGAAAGAACCCATCAGGTTCAGTAAATCTTTAGGGAAGGAAACCTGTTGTCCTTATCTTGTCTGGCCTACACATGACTGTGGACCCACAGCAATGTGGTTGACTCTCAACAACTCATTGAAATGGTCAAGAGAGGCAATTAATTCAAGAGAAATTAGCAATAGCATGTGTGATGAAAGGTGTGTATTTATAATATATATGAATTTTTTTTTATGAGTTTATATTTTAAACTAGTGGAGTATGGGATTGGGGTTGGGGCTGGGATTGGGAGAAGGGATTTAATAATTAACTAGGTCAGCTTTTCAGAAACATTATTTTAAATCAGCATGTGTCAAAGAGAAGATGGCTGAAGACCCTTGGGCGAGGTTAGGGAAGATTTTTTGTATGGTGAAGTTTTACGGCAGAGAGAGTAAACATTAAAATGTATTAGCTTGCTTTTATGTTCAGAATAATCAATGATAGATTTTCTTTTTATAAAATCAGAGATGGAAAGTCTTTTGGGTTCAGTTCACTGAGCTCAAACATACCTCTCACAGAAAAAGGAGATGGTTCTCAGTCCAGTCAAAGTATTGAGTTATCTCAACATAAGGGTTGTAGTTTGAAAAAAAAATCTCCAAAGAGTGTTTTGTCAGAACTCTGCAGACTATTAAAGGACTGAAGAATTCTAAGCTCTCGGTTGTGTGAGTGTTCAAGAAAAAATGTTCACATCTCACAGGATCAGAACTGAGAAGAAGCAGTTAAGTCAACCTATTAAAACAAACTCAGAGAATGCTGGAGAAACTCAGCAGGTCTGGCAGCATCTGTGGAGAGAGAAACAGAGTTAGCAATTCCAGTCCAGTTCTTCAGAAGAGTCAGCATTTATAGACCACCTCTAGTTGCCCTCAAGAAGGTGGTGGTGAGCTGTCTTCTTGAACTGCAGTGTTCCATGTGCTGTAGGTAGACCCATGATGCCAATAGGGAAGGAGTTCCATGTGATAGTTCAGTATGTATGTAAATATCTTGGTTTGTTTATTCTTTTTTAGAGTGATAAATTTCTTCTGTTTTATTTGAAATACCAAATCTACCACCTGATGTGCTTATGTTTCAGTGAAAGGCCATTGCATTAAATGAAAAATAAAACAAAACCCAGATATCGTTGTGAGATTTGACTTATCCAGCAGTAACATCAGGTGGAATCATACCAGACAACAAGTGCTGATTTTAGTTGTGATATTCACACTCCACAGAGGCATGAAAAATAATATGATTGAAGGAACGCTGAAATATCTGATAATCCCCTTTGCAGCTGGGCTGCCTGAGCATCAATGGATTGCACTGATGTCATATGACAGTGGGTCTATGTTTCTGCTGCTAGGCTCCGATATCAGATGTTAGTGGACTCACTAACCTTAACCACTCGCTTCAATCCAGTGAATGACTTCCGTACATTGGCCTGTGCGTTGCACTCCTGCCAGTTATCCCCACAGTTACCTCTTTTCACTGCCAACTCAATGTGTATATGGATAGCCTCCTGCTCAACTAAGGATAGGCAATATACCATTGAGTCATTGAGATCTACAGCACAGGCAAAGGCCCTTTGGCCCATCATGCCCACGCTGGTCAGAAACAGCCACCAGTCTCTGTTAACTTTCATCATCTCCTTCAGCAAGACCTTTAATATGTGTCTAAAAATTCAGGAAGTCTTCTCTTTCCCATAATGGGTCACTGACCTCTCTTTCCCAGGTCAGATCCTGTTGCACAGTGACTCCCAGCACCTGCAATAGCCTTTAAATGATGGCGATCAGCTTTAAGAAGAGCGAGTTGCTGACAATATTTCCCCCCTCCATTACTAATGCATAGTGAAGGAAGACTGCAGGAAAACCTGGTAGCAGAGACAGAGCAATATAATTTACAGACAACAGGAAGTTGGTGTGCAGCCTATTTACCACTCAAAAGGAACTGGGTAATCGTGCATCGCAAACACTGTTCCCATTTCAGAGATGAACCAAGATAACCTCTGTGGAGATTTTGGCTTTGGCTATGCACCAGCAATAGGAAGCTGGTAGTAAATTGAAAGGGGTGGCGGCAAATAGTTGTGGATTCACTGCTTTCCCTATTGTCCTGAATTAAATTGGGATAAATCCTAAACCCCACTTGCAATCTTACTGATCTCTGCAAT